ATAGATAGATAGATAGATAGATAGATAGATAGATAGATAGATAGATAGATAGATTATAGATAGAATAAAAACGGAACCCGGGCATGGTGGCATACATTTATAATCCTAGCACTGGAAGAATTCTGAAGTGGGAAAACTGCCAAGAATTTGAAGCCAGTCTGGGTTATATAACAATGCTCTGCCTCAAAGCAAGCAAGCAATTTGCAATTCTAGCACTTGGAAGGCCAAGGCAGAGAAACCAGAGGAATTCAAGACAGTTAATGCAGCGACTCATAGTTGGAAAAAGTGCTCAGCCCTAAATGGTCTATCTGTACCAACCCCACCCCAAGGCTCCAGAAAAACCCTGGAAGGAGCCCAAAGAACGGAAGAGCCAGAGGGTGGAGAAGAGGGCTATAAAATGTCTCCTGGGCACACCATGTTGCCCCATGGACTTACTCAGCTGGATTACTGAAATAGGATCGGCACAAAATTAAGCCCACAGCAGCAACCAACATCCCAATGGGCAGCACTAAGTGGACTCAGTGTTGGGGAGAGAAGAGGACTTGAAGCAGCGAAGGGGCCAGGTTGGGGAACGCCTGGGGGAGTGGGAGGGGAGGGGTTGGAGGTGTTTGACCAAAATACATCGTTAACAAGAACTAAATTGTCATAGGATAAAGGCACGATGTGCTATTACCCCAACACAAACTCATGGTCAGGACTAGAGAGATAGCTCAGGGATAAAAGCACTTGCTGCTCTTGAAGAGGATGTGTATTGGATTCCCAGCACCCACCCAGTGGCCTCAACACTCACAATCCCAGCTTCCAACTGTCTGTAACTCCAGGCCCAGGGGATCTGACGCCCTCTTCTGGCCTCCATGAGCACTGCATGCACATGGTGCACAGACTCCCCGTGAGATAAAAATGAGTACTAGATGGTGGATCAGGAGCTGGCTCTGTGGCTAAATCATTTGTTCAGATGCATGGGGTCTAGAGTTTGGAGAGCGGTGTGGTGCCCTGCTTGTAATTACAGCATTAGAAGGTGGAAACGGTCGCAATGGAGCAAGCTGACTAGCTAGACTAGTATGGATGCCTACTGAGTTCAACCGAGAGACTTGCCTTGATGCATAAGACAGAGACCAAGCAACAAAAACTCCCAATATCAACCTCAAGTCTCCCCGAGTACATGCAAACAGACACATGTCAACAGGCATGCACATGGGTACACCTCACACACACATACACAGGAAAAGAAAAAAGCATTAAAAATCAAGAAGTATTATTCGAGGGGCTGGAGAGATGGCTCAGGTTAAGAGCACTTGTTCTCGGAGCTGGAGAGATGGCTCAGAGGTTAAGAGCATTGCCTGCTCTTCCAAAGGTCCTGAGTTCAATTCCCAGCAACCACATGGTGGCTCACAACCATCTGTAATGGGGTCTGGTGCCCTCTTCTGGCATGCAGGCATACAGACAGACAGAATATTGTATACATAATAAATAAATATTAAAAAAAAGAGCACTTGTTCTCGCAGGGGACCTGGGTTCAGTTCCCAGTATCTACATGGTGGCTGCCAACCATCCATAACTCCAATTCCAAGAGATTCGATGCTTTTTCTGGCCTCCGTGGATACCAGGCACACACATGGTATCTCTGTGTGTGTCTATAATAAATTTATAAAATATATAATTATAAAACAAATAAGTAATTATAAAATAAATAAATCTAAAAAATTTTTAGGGTCAGACATGATGGTGCACACCTTTAATTCCAGCACTGGGGAGGCAGAGGCAGGTGAATATCTGTGAGTGTGAGGCCAACCTGGTCTACAGAACGAGTTTCAGGACAACCAGAGACTCTGTCTCAAAAAAAAAAAGTGGAAAGTAGAAAGATTTATTAAATAAATGTGGTTTTCTTATTATTCAAGATGGCTTTGGTTCAGCATTGACCAAGCATAGGGCCTGTGGCCACTGCACAGGGTCCATGCCCATAAAGCCACCCCTGGCACCAAGCCAAAGGAAG